GCTCTTTAAAGTATCAAGTGAACATTAAACAAACGTACGGCGGAGTTACAAGCAAATCGAAACAAAACACAATGAACAATCAAAGTAACAGTGAAACAGAACATTTTAAAAACATTAACGTGGAAACGAAAAATATGAAAACTTTTTTAGAAAACTACAAAAACAAGCAGCAAAACTGTCGGAAAATAAATTCATGCCATGAAAATCACAGCTTGGAATGCAAGGAATGGAAAAATATTAAGAGCGATTGACACAGCAGTAGTAAGTATCTTTGGTATAAACGATAAGCTGTAAAGTAAGGCATAAATTTATAAAGAAAAAATGTGCGTACATCACGCCTCATCGTTGTCGTCAGAGCCTTTTCGCAGCAGCTGGTTTTCAAATCCATCAGCCGTCGTTGCTCTGTCCCCGTTCGACAGCCAGTTGGTCCTTTTGGCTGATTTGTCAGAGACGAACCTTACTCGATCAATGCATGCCGCATTTTCTTCTTCTTCACCTTCGCCAAGGGCACACGTCTCAGCTTCGGGCAACTCACATTTGCCACCAGACGACTGGACCAGTTTCATGTATTTATACTCCAATCTTGCAACAAGCTTACGTCAGACAAAAAGGACTATCAACATCCTACCACATACTTCTGGTTCTTTTTCCAAATGAAAATGACCAGGGAAACAAGCAAAATGCCGAAAGTGGACGCAACGCCAATCGCCATTTGGGCCTGCATCGTTAGCGGTGAACAAGGAAGCGCCTTGGTCGACCGCCGAAGCGTGTCGTTGAGGTTACAATGCCTGAGATAAAAAATATTAATTAATTAGGCAACCTATCAAATATTGCAATAAATCAAAGTGCAGGGGAGAACAAAAAATTTTTTGTTCATTAATCTTATGAAAGAATTACATGATAGGTCAGACTGTTCCTTCAGTGAATGACATTCTAGAAATCTACAGAAAATCCTAATAATAAAATCTACTTAAAAGCAGAAAACTTGTTGAAAACATCATAAATAATGAGAGTGTATTGAACAAACTTTAGTTTTATACCAGACAAAAGAAATTATCAAAACATTAAAAAAAATAAAAATCGTTACTATTTTCTCATTCGACTGATTGAGTTCAAAGTTCAAAACAAAGAAAAAGGCCACTGAAAGGAGAGTGTTCAAACAAAAAGACAAAACTGACATCTACATATGTTTTGAAAACCCATAAGATGGCGTCAGAGTTCCCGTCTAGAAACAAACTGTCAATGTTGCATGAAAATCTCCGTAAGCATGGAGAAATCAACTGCAAATACCTCTTTAAGTTTGAAAAATAAACCTTCGAAAAAAATACTTCATCTTCATCTTCCATCGCCACTTCTCCTTTCGGGTCGCGGAGGCAGACGCGCCAGACAGTGCTACCAACGTTCCCGATCCCGTGCCAGAGTCTGAGCTTCGGCAAAGGACAAATGCAGTCTGGAACAGATTCCTTCCATATGTTTGCACCA